GCTGGGAGAAATATCAATAACCTCAGATACGTAGACGACATCACCCTTATGGCAGAAAGTGAAGAGGAACTAAAAAGCCTCTTGATGAAAGTGAAGGAGGAGAGTGAAAAAGTTGGCTTAAAGCTCAACATTCAGAAAACTAAGATCATGGCATCTGGTGCCATCACTTCATGGGAAATAGGTGGGGAGATGGTGGAAACAGTGTCAGACTATTTTGGAGGGCTCCAAAATCACTGCAGATGGTGACTGCAGCCATTGAAATTAAAAGACACTTACTCCTTGGAAGGAAAGTTATGATCAACCTAGATATTATATTAAAAAGCAGAAACATTACTTTGCCAACAAAGGTCCATCTATGTGATGGACAAACAAAGGTCCATGGATGTGAGAGTTGGACTGTGAAGAAAGCTGAGCACTGAAGAATTGACGCTTTTGAACTGTGGTGTTGGAGAAGCCTCTCGAGAGTCCCTTGGACTGCAAGGAGATCCAACCAATCCATCCTAAAGGAGCTCAGGCCTGGGTGTTCATTGGAAGGACTGATGCTGAAGCTGAAACTACAGTACTTTGGCTACCTGATGTGAAGAGCTGACTCATTGGAAAAGACCCTGATGCTGGGAAAGATTGGGGGCAGGAGGAGAAGGGGACAACAGAGGATGAGATGGTTGGATGGCATCACCAACTCGACGGACATGGGTTTGGGTGGACTCCGGGAGCTGGTGATGGACAGGGAGGCCTGGCGTGCCGTGATTCTTGGGGTCGCAAAGAGTTGGACACGACTGAATGACTGAACTGATTCTGGAACTTTGCATTTACAGATCCACTTTTAAAAAACATTTTACTGTAGTATAGTTGATTTATAGTGTTGTGTGAGTTACACGTTTACAGCAAAGTGATTCAGTGATACATATACATATATCTACTCTTTTTTAGATTCTTTTCCCAAGGACACTCAAATAAGTCACAGAGCTGTTATTCATTCAAGCCATCTAGACCATAGGTAGGACATGGCATTCCTAAGCACACAGAATTTACCTTTATAGAAAAGTTCCTTCCTACAGATTAGAATGAACCAGCATTTCAGTACCACTCACTTTGTCTAACAACAAACCAGAGTCCCTCCCTCTTCCACAGAACTGGGAAGCGAATCAGCAATTTAATTTTAACCTTGGGCTTCTAAGCTTCTCCATTGTGAAACTAGATCTAATGAATAAAGCTAATCTTACCAAGTTAGTAAGGTAGAAGATGTCACATTCCTTTCTGAATGTCTTTAGGTACTACTGCCTAAGTTTCCTACAAAGATGTACAAGGCTAATTTAACTCCCTGAGGAAATTCCATATTACCAGTTAGCTATTGCTAAAGTCAGTGCTCAAGGTACTTCATATGTTACAAGACCAATTGTATAAATGAGACTACAATTTTTTAGAAGTCTTGAATCATGTTGGATATGTAGAAGTACATTCCAAAGATAAATACATAAAACCATCTCAGCTGAAAGAGAAGCAGGTTGTTGATTGTCCCTCAAGAGAAAAGTATTATAAAGGAAAGCACAGAATAGACCACCTGGCTTCAGCAGGGACCACTCCTAGGATAAAACAGGATGTATGTGTTCCTTCAGCACACCCTTCCTGAGCACCTACTAGTGCCCAGTACTATTCTGGGCACCGGGGGATAGCTCTGAATGGCACGTCAGCTCTTCCCAAAGGCGTCACACCCGCAATGTCCACGTTTCCCTGCCTGCATTAGTTTACCCTCTATACGGCATTATTACTGTCTGCAGAAGTGAGAGGAAGAACTCCTTTGACCTGAAATGCTCTCTAATCGCCGCCTCATTTCTCGATATGCCTTAATAGAAAACTTACTCAAGAGCGGCTAAACCTCCCTGTCTCCACTTCTTTCTCTCATTCTCTCTGAGCATGCCCCAGCCATACCATCGTACCCACCGCTCCTCTGAGCCCACGCTTGTCAGTCTCATTAAACCCCACGTTGCTGAACCTAACGGCCCACTCGTCGTCCTCACTGTGCTTGTTCCTAGTAGTAGCTGACAGTTGCTGTCTGCTTCTTCCTGGAAAAGCCTTCCTCACTTGGCTTCCAGGACACCGACTCTGCTGTTGGTTCCCTTGCTGCCCCACTTGCTCCTCATCCTTCTTTCTGCAGTCCTTCTCTAAATCACGGAGTGCTCTAGAGCGTAGTCCTTGAATCCTCCTTCCTCTCTACACGCACTGTCTAGGTAAAAGCATTCTCTAATCCCAGAGCCTCAAATGTCACCTGAAAGTCGACAACTCCGAGACCTCTCTTATGACCTCCAAACTAATACTAATACACCCAACTGCCTACCCAGTATCTCAGACTCAGTATGTCCACAACCAAACTCCCCACCTGCAATTCTGGGTTAGTTTTGACTGGATGTAACATACACACATCCAAAAAAAGAAAAAAATTAAGAAACAAAAATTGCTTAAATGACATAGGAATTTCTCTCACACATTTAAAAGGAAAAAATCTAGACATACAGAGGTAGGCAGTCCAGATCGTGTATGGCAGCCACACTTGCCATTAGGAACCTGGGCCCCTTGTCTCTTGTTACCTCTCTACCTTTAGTGTGCTTCCTCATTTTGCTGGTGGGAGAGAGAAATGTAATGGTCCTCCCCTCTAAAAGAAACTTACTAGAAACCCTAGACAGCTCTTCTGCTTGCAGCTCGTTGGCCAGAACTTAGATCACGGCCAGGCCTCACTGCAGGGGAGGTTGGGCTGAATAGCAGTTTTTAGCTGGATGACCATATATTCAGCTAAAACCGGCGGGTGGGGGTGGGGGTGGGGGGCTAAAACAAAAGAGGATTAAATGGACAGTAGGGAGCAGCTAGCCGTGTCTGCCACTCTATGTGAATGTGGTTCTCCCCCAGTTCCCCATTTCCTTGTCAGCCACACTCTCCCAGTTGCTTAGGCCAAATGCCTTGGGTTAACCACGGCTCTTTTTCTCTCCCAGTCTACAACCAATCCACCAGCAAATCCTCCTGATTGTACTTTCAGAATAGATCCTGAATCTGATAGCTTCTGACCACTTCTACCACTTGCATCTTAGTGCAGGCTGTCATCACGTCTTCTGGACTTTGGAAATAAGCTGCTTACTGAGCTCTCTGGTTCTGCCAGTCCACTCTCCACACAGTAGCATATCATCTTTCAAAACCTAAGTCACTCTGTGTCAATCCTGTGTGCAGAACCCCGCTTACCTCCTAGCCGATAAAATCCAAGGGGCTTAGTATTAAAAGGCCGTGCATCATTTGGTCCTGGCTCACCCTGATTTAATCTATCTTCTCGCTTACTCATTCCATTCCAGTCGCTTCCTTGATGTTCCTTGAATATACCAAGTATGGGCCAATTTTAGGGCCTTTATATCTATAAATACTATTCCTTCTACCTTTGATGCTCTTCACCTAGATACCCCCATGGCTTGCTCCTTAGCTTCTTTCAGGTCTTTGATCAGATATCACATTATCAAAGAGACCTTTCCTAACAACCTATCTAAAATAGGATTTCTTCTTGAAAATCTTTTTCCCTTTATATAGCTCTTTTTCTTCTTAACACTCAATATTGTTTGACCTTTCTTTTGATATTCTGTGTGTATACATGCTCATATAGTTTATTTATATGTCTATATATAACCATTTATATAATGTATATGAATTCGATTATTGAACGTCTTCCCCACTAGAACTAGAGTGCAGACTTGGTCTCTTTTGTTAACCACCATCTTCCTATTAGTTAAGGGAGGTCAACATAGAGTTCTCTGAGGACAGAAATATAATGGGTACTTCCCCTTTCTTTTAAAGAAACTAAATAATTCTTTTGCTTATATCTCATTGGCCAGTATTTTGATTATGGCTGGAGCTAGCTGCCGGAGAGGTTGGCAAGTCTAACAGTTTGAGCTAAGAATAAATGAAGAGGAGCCAGCCATGCAAAAGTCTAGAAGGGGAGCACTCCAGGCAAAGGGAATAGTGAAGTGCAAAGCCCTACTGTGGAAATAAGCTTGTCATGAAGAGGGGAGTTGTCCTGTGTTTGGGGACAAAAAGAAGTTGAGTGTGGCTGGAATAAGCAATTATGAAGAGACTGGAGCACGATAGGGGCTTCCCAGGTGGCGCTGGTGGTAAAGAACCCCTCTGCCAGTGCAGGGGACAAAAGAGACTCAGGTTTGGTCCCTGGGTCGGGAAGATCCCCCGGATGAGGCTATGGCAACCCACTCCAGTATTCTTGCCTGGGAAATTCCATGGACAGAGGAGCCTGGTGGGCTACAGTCCACGGGGTCCCAAAGACTCAGACACGAATGAAACAACTTAGTCAGTTTAATACACACGCAGAACAAGGTGAGCAAGAGAGGCCAGGCAGATCACCAGGGAGGGTTTTGCACATCCCAGATGCAAAAAGGAAAAGAAAAAAAGAAAAGGCACCAGCCTCTTTGGCACCTCAGCCATTCTCCAGCCTTTGGGGAATTCCAGGGATACACTGCCAGAGGCACACACAGCTATTTAAGTAACTGAAAGTGAAGAAAACTTAAACGCTCAGTTTCCCCATCGCACCCATCACACTCATGCGTGGAGTAGTCCCGTGGGCCATGCTGCCTGCCAGCCAGCACACACGGGGTCCACAGGCCGCATACGCCCCTGTCCCGGGACGTTCTGTTAGTGCAGCTCGGGGGCGGCCAGTCAGAAGGGGAGTGACACCCAATCCGCTTCATCTCCCCTGTGACTGTCCTCTTAACCCTGTGTGAGTGGAAATGATGCCTGTGGTGCCTAGATCAGCGTGTGGCCTGTCGCATATGCACATGTTCTCGTGGTGATTTTTACCTGTGACAGAGAAGATGGGAAAGACTGGTAAATCATATGCATTCTTAAGATCATTATGAGCACACTGCAGATGTGAAAATGCCAAATGTGGAAGTCATCAGTGTGAAAGCGGCTTTCAATTTGTTGTAATAAGGCGTTTTCTGTATCTTATTGTAATCTAGGGATCTTGCTGCAAGAAACTGCCTGGTAGGTGAAAACAACGTGCTAAAAATCAGTGACTTTGGAATGTCTCGTCAAGAGGATGGTGGCGTGTATTCGTCTTCTGGCCTGAAGCAGATCCCTATTAAGTGGACGGCACCAGAAGCGCTTAATTATGGTAAGAAGAGACCCTTCCTTTCTGGTGGTCGAAAGGGACTCCATCAGCATGAAACATTTCACAGGCAAAGTCCCAGGGCAGAGCAGAGCCCAAGTGAGAATCGGCTGAGGGGCAGCATGCAGGGTGTGTACAGACTTAATTCAGCAATTTTATTGATCAGATTTCTATGTGTAACACCACTAGATTTAAAAGATGGATCTGAGGTACAAGCACTGTTAAGTGTGAGTATGCATCTGAAAGTTTCTAGTGTGACCCAAGAAAAAGATTGTTTCTATTTTAAAAGTCAGATTAGACTCAGAGTAAAACTGTTGTGTGGCTCTGGACCATTTCCTTTGAAAGCCTTATGTTTGGTCCAGTAACCTCATCTGATGTTAGGTTCCTAAAATACTAAGTCTGTAGTTTCTCACTCTGAAAAACTGACATGGTTTCTTAGCATCTCAGTCTCTGGAACTTGTGTAAAACTTCTGGGAAGAGAGAGATGGAATATATGCGTATACATGTCTGAGTCACTTTGCTGTCCACCTGAAACTGAGAGGACATTTTGCCTCATCTACCCTCCAATATAAAATAAAAACCAAATTTAAACAATAGCATAAAGTTATTCCTTGTTAATTTAAAGTGAAAAGTACTTCATCATGAAAAATTAATATACAGTATTTACAAAAGTCTTAATGCCTAAATTAAAGACAGGTAATTTAGAAAAAGCTTTAAGGTAAAATCCATGAGACATCAAACTGACCGTTGTGAAGCGAACGGTTCAGGGGCATTTAGTACATTCACATCGCTGCACAGATACTGCCTCTCTCTAGTTCCAAGACATCTGCATAACTCCAGAATAAAGCCTCACACCTGCATTAAGAAGCCTCCCTTCCCCCACCCACTGGCAACCACATACCTGCTTTCGGTTGCTATGTATATACCTATTCTGTCTGTTTCATATAAATGGAATCATATAATATGTGACTACTGGTATGTGACTTCTTTCACCTAGCATAAGGTTTTCAAGGTTCAACCATGTTACAGCATATATCATTATTTTACTCCTTTTTATAGCTTAGTAATATTCTATTATATGTATCTACCACAATTTATTTATCCGTTCATCCATTGATGTGTATTTGAGCAGTGTTTACCTTTTGGCTGTTGTGAGTAGTGCCGCTTTAAACATCTGTATACTAGGATTTATTTGTGTACCTATTTTCAATTAATTCTGAGTACACACTAGGGAATATGGTAATTCTGTGCTTAAGTGTTTGAGGAACCACCGAATGTTTTCCAGATCAAGCTTTGGAATATAATTGTTTTGGAAGTGAGTTGGGATGGATCCAGATACCACAACCTGCTTTGTATCTTGCATGTCAGCAATGCTGTGGAATAGATATGTGCAGGTAGTTGTCATTGCAAGAAATTCACTAAGCTGTTCTAGTTTCCAACAATGCAGTTTTTTAACTTAATACTTCAGGGATACTAAGCCTCACCCTTAGTCTGTCTTCCCATGTGCTGGCAAGAGAAGTGATGGTAAGCTTTGAGGAATTCCACCACTCCTCAAAATCCAAAGAGCATGGCAGTCCTGCTATTTTCCACAGTGATTCTTCTCTGGGGTGGTTATTACTCTGAGGCTATATTCCTAAGGAGAGCAATCACAAGATGAAAGAAAGGACTGTAATCATTTTTTTAACGGAGACGTTTTCTTAGAAAACAAAACATTGCTAAGGACCTTCTTGTTGATTCTTAGAGCAGCCTCTAAGGGAGCCAGTGCTGGACTAGGGGGCCTTAAATGCTTATCAGTAAAATCCACTGTCTAGAATGTGTTCTTAATCCTGTTTGCCAGATTCTCTACATTACATTGCCTTTAAAATCTCTCTTACTGCTAAGCAATTATGCCAGTAAAATTCTGCCTTTTAATCAGAGCGTATTTTAGTTGAATTTCAAGCTGACTAACGTATTTACCAAATACTTTAATTCACAATTCTAATTCCAATATCTGTAAGAGCCAGACCTAAATTTAGCATGTCATAGAATAAAGACACGCTTCTCTGGTGGCTCAGATGTAAAGAATCTGTGTGCAATGCTGGAGACTTGGGTTTGATGCCTGGGTCGGGAAGGTCCCCTGGAGGAGGGCATGGCAACCCACTCCAGTACTCTTGCCTGGAGAATCCCGTGGACAGAGGAGCCTGCTGGGCTGCTGTCCACGGGGTCACAGAGAGGTGGACACGACTGAGCGACTGAGCATGCACATGAAGACCTTTGATGGGCAGTAAGGGATTGCTGTTAGCAGTCTTTCATGTGAATTTTATAAAATGCTGAACGGCACACCCTCTCATCGTACACACAGACTAAAAATGGCTCAAAGACTTAAACCTAAGTGTTTAAGACACCATACAACTCCTAGAGAAGATCATAGGAAAAAAATATTCTCTGACATAAATCGTACCAGTGTTCTCTAAGGCCAGTCTCCCAAGGCAATAGAAATAAAAACAAAAGTAAGCAAATGGGACCTGATCAAACTTACAAGCTTTTGCACAGCAAAGGAAACTGAAAACAACACAAGAACACAACCTACAGAATGGCAGGAAATATTTGGAGATGATGTGATTAACAAAGGCTTCATTTCAAAAGTATGGAAGCAGTTCATACAACTCAACAACAAACAAACAACCCAATAGACATTTCTCCAAAGAAAAACAAATAACCAACAGGCACATGAAAAGATGCTCAACTTCTCTAATTATCAGAGAAATGCAGATCAAAACTGCAATGGGGTACCTCCTCACAGCAGTCAGAATGGCCACCATTAAGAAGTCTACAAATACATGCAGGAGAGGGTGTGGAGAAAAGGGAAGCCACTGTTGGTGGGAATGTAATGTGGAAAACAAGATAGGGGTTCCTCAGAAAACCAAAAGCAGAATTACCATATCATCTAGCCAGCCTACTCCTGGGCATATATCCAGACAAAATTCTAATTCAAAAAGATTCATGCTCCCCTGTGTTCACAGTAGCGGCGTTTACAATAGCCAAGACATGGAACAGAGGATGTGGTCCACATATACAGTGGACTAAAAGAGAAGGAAATGATGCCATTTCCATGACATGGGTGCAACTGGAGACTGTCATACTAAGTGAAGTAAGAAAGAGAAAGACAGGTACCATATGATACCACTTATATGTGGAATCTAAAATATGACACAAATGAGCCTATTAAACAGAATCACAGACATAGAGAACCAACTGGTATTTGCCAAGCAGGAGGGGGCTGGGGTCAGCAGATACAAGCTTTCATACAGAGTGGATAAACAGGGTCCTACTTAATAGCACACGGAATAGTCGATGTCCTGTGATAAACCATAATGGAAAAGAATATTTTTAAAAAATGCATGTACATGTGTAACGATCACCTTGCTGCACAGCAGAAATTAACACTACGGTAAGTCAACTACACCTCAATAAAAATATTGATAAAAAGTTTACAATGCTGAACAGTTTATATGAGGGAGAGATTTCTAACAGGATGGGAAGGAAGTCAGGAGTATTTATTACCCAGTCCAGTGAGGGAGTTCCTGGGTGTGTACACAGGTCACGGCAAACCTGAGAAACATTTTAGTTCTCCCAGAATGAAATCACTGAAGACTGACTCTAAATCCTAGCATTTTTTTTACCAAGAGAAAATATATTTTATGAAAGTCTTATTTGTTGTTCTACATGAAGATGTAAAGCATGGCTGCTTTGTGACAGTGGGTGATAGTGTTACTAGACTTACTGTGATTATTTTGTAATATATACAAATAGTGAATCATCATGCTGTACAACTGAAACTCATATGTTATATGTCAATTATATCTCACTAAGAAATACTAATTAATTCCTTAAAATAATCCAGTTAAAACCAGATTCAAAAGTCAGGTCACAGAGTTAGGTTATAAGCTTTCACTTCCAGAGTGTAATCTTGGTTTACAGCACAAGTGGCCATTCTTGACCTCTTCCCAGATATCATCTCACAGAAAGGCACTGGGTTCTCCGGGCCTTACATGTCCTTGAAGAGTTAATTGGCCATTGAATGATTTTCATGAAAAGCTTTGAATCACTGGATGTCAGGCATGAAAAGAGTTGCTGTGCAGACAAGGCAACTAACCTTGGTACTGAGTCGCATAGTGAATGTCCATAATCACTGTCCAGTAAGAAGGAAGCAGTTCACAGAGCCGGAGATGATGATCCCCAAGAACACTCCAGTCTCTGACGTCAGAGAGGTTAGCATAGATAGCACTGTTGTGCTATTTCCTTGTACTGTTTGCAAGAAAGAGAAAAGGCCATCCTACTCAAATTAACAAGGCATTTTTAGAGGCTAGGCATTTGGCAGAAGTATGTTGGAAAATCTTGGAAATTCATAGCCTTTTTGCTTCCGCTCCTTGATGTCACATTCATTCCAGAAGGTTTCTTTGTGTGGCTTTTATCTCTGTGTTTGTCTAGAAGATTACCAAGGGGAAAAAACAAAACCAAGAGCTTAGCTTATGTAAGTCAGCAAAACAGGTGCACCAGGATATTTTGACAAAACAAGGCACCATGTAATTTAAAGAAGTTGTTTTTTTTTTTTTTAAGAAGTTGTTTTTATCAACGAGTTATGTTAATTTCTACTCTATTCAAAATGCAGAAAAATGAATTTTCCATAAATGAAACTGTCAGTGGAGAAAATGAGACTTTTAGGCATGTAAGAATATCTGTAAACTGTGATGAGTAAAAAAAAACTGAAGTTAAGAAACTTTCCTTATTGCCCTAACTTTGTAATTTTAGTAGAAAGAAATTGAATGTAGGCAAAAAACAAAATTACATAACTCCCAGCTTATTTAATCTCCTAGGCATTGATGTATACAAATTTATATCTTTTTTATATAAACTATCCATCTCATTTAGAGGCCACAGAGAGTGTAAGCTTGCATACTGAGTGAGTATGTGTTCTTGGTAGGGGAAATGTGATTTGGAAGGTGGTTTGGTTAAACTAACAACCTGAAGACTGTTCATTTAATTGGTGTATTACTCCTCCTGGAAAGCAAAACTAGACAAGAGAATAAGATCAGTAATTGCTGAGTTCCTGGTAAGTTTAAACATGTGACTGACACAGACACATACAACCGAAAACTGTCACCTGCTTACCCTGCGCTGGCTGTGATCTGTCCGCCCTCCAGGGAGATACAGCTCTGAGAGTGACGTGTGGAGCTTCGGCATCCTGCTCTGGGAGACCTTCAGCCTGGGGGTCTGCCCCTACCCCGGAATGACAAACCAGCAGGCCCGGGAACAGGTGGAAAGAGGTGAGCTCAAGACACGGGGTAGAGCGTCCATGGCCGCCACCTGGGGCAGGCTGAGGCTGCGTCTGTATTTTCCGGGCAGAGGAAGGTGGTGCTGTTTGGGCACGTGACAGACAGAAGTGTGTGTGTGTGTGTGTGTGTGTGTGTGTGTGTGTGTGTGTGTGTGTGTTTAGTCGCTCAGATGTGTCTAGCTCTGTGACCCCATGGACTGTAGCCCACCAGGCTCTTCTGTCCATGGGATTTCAAAGGCCAGAATACTGGTTGGGTTGCCGTTTTCTTCTCCAGGGAATCTTCCCGACCCAGGGATCAAAGCCAGGTCTCCTGCTTGGCAGGTGGATTCTTTATCACGAGCTATCAGCAAAGCCCAACAAAAGAGGTGTTGGTACATCTACTTTTGAACCTGAAGGATGGTATGGATCTTACACAACAAAAACCAACCACAAAGACTTTGAAACATCCAGCACCTTGGAAATAGAAGGCTCTAGGCTCTTCTTCCACTGCCTCTGCTTAGCATAACATCTGCAAGGGTGTGCCATTGACTCTCTTCCAAGGAAACAGTACCTGTTTTTTATTCCATGCCAAATAAGCACTGTTAATGTCCCTACTAATTGAAAGGTAGTTAGACTTCAGGAAGAAGCTGACAGTGTTGTAACAGTCCTCAAGAAACCCCGTGGCACTCTCAGATCAAAGGCAGACCTAGGCATGTGATGATGACACCCTCTCGCGAACCTGTGTGTCCACGGCTTTCAACAAAAAAATACTTTCAACAAAAGGCCAGTGCCCTAGCATCAGGCCCCTCCAGGGGCATGGTTGTTGGGTTGGGGGCAGGAGGGTGGCTTGCCAGCGTCCTCCCTAACCCTGAGGACATGCGGACACATCCCACCCAGCACCCTGCTGGGACACTGCCCAGTGACTGAATTAATGAGTCTTCTCAGCTGCAGAGGAACATGACTTGTATCCATGCTTATTTCACTTTTGAGGCAATGTTCCTAAATCCTCATCCTCTCTTCACCTTCAGAAACCTGAGCAAAAGAGATGATTTTTTTAAAAAAAAGACTGCCTATAGCATCTAAAAGCTAATACTTAGAACAGCTAAAACATGCGCTTGTATGTGATGTTTCTCACATCAGGCTTTGTTCATTTGTCACAAACACAAAATCGGTTCATGGAACTAGAAGGTAATGATATTGTTTTATAATATTAAAACCTGCATTACTTACAGAAAAAAAAAAATCAGCCTGCCCTAAAATGGCATTTCTGTTTCTGTTAACCAACAGCATGCGGCACTGAAAACTGCACACTGCGCAATGCCCTGTGTGAACAGTGGTGCCTGGTTATCCCCGTCCTAAATTCTCTGTCCTCTTGTGTCTTCAGGATACCGGATGTCAGCCCCTCAGCACTGTCCGGAGGACATTTTTAAAATCATGATGAAGTGTTGGGATTATAAACCTGAAAACCGCCCCAAGTTCAGTGAACTTCAGAAAGAGCTCGCTGTCATCAAGAAGAAGATCACCTCGTGACCGAGCAGCGTGGATGCAGCCTCTCCCCTCGCAGAGTAATACTGTTCTCCTTGTTAACCATAAGTGTATACAGTGTTGTGTGCAACCGTCTTCTAAGGTTACTTTTTTAATTAACTGTTTTTTAAATATGTGCTGTTTTAAAAAAAAAAAAAAAAGTCAAAGGCAAAGGCATTGAAGCAGCAGTCCTTGCACGGGCGTTCCTAGCTCAGTCCCGCGGTCCTGGCACGTCAGCCCCAGCCTCGTGGGAGTCGACAGGCACGGGCTCAAGCGTGCAGGGAGCCCGCCCGTCTTGCCCACACCGGGACCACTGGCGCTCCGCCGGGCCGCTTACCTCCAGGCCCTGCTCCCCGCTGCCGCCCCGGCCGCAGACCCCGCTTCCTCCGTCCGTGGTCTGCGAAGCCGGCTTCCTGCGCCGGCCCGCTCCATCCGCCCGCGGGCCGCTCGGCACGCTGTGTCTGTGAGGCATGTCCTGGCGAAGCCGGCTTCCTGCACCGCCAGGGCAGGGGCGTGTTTGTAAACATCACTTCACACAGAACTGTTCAGATCTCCCGGGGGTTTCTCTCCTTTCTTGACAGAAATAAGCATAAGAGCCCTCCCGTTTCCATCCTCCGAGTGAGGCTGTGGTTTCCCTCCTCTTTGTCAGAGATGGTGGCCGGAGCCTCCTTACAGAGCTGGCAGCTGAGGCCAGGGCTTTTAGGGACCATTTTAGATAGCTGCGACCTGTGATGGCGAGACCCAGGTTGGAACAGTGATCTGGAGAAGCGGCAGCTAGCTCAGTCATCCCAGAGAAGGGAAGGGAGACAGAGACTGCCTTCTCACCAGAGTTACGCCTTTACACACACACACACACACACACACACACACACACACACACTTACTTCATGATCTGAATTCATGAACAAGGTTCTGAGAAACGTTTTCAGTTCTTAGATACAGCTTTCTTGGCAACCAAAAATTGTTTAGGGACAGTCCAATGCACAAGTCCACAGATGTCACGACATGCTTTGAAGCACCTTCGAGAGGACACATCTCAGAATTCAATTCCTTTCATCCATGCCAGTGTCCAGGGCTGTCCAAACTGAATGGTCCTAGTTCATAAACACAGTCGTGTGTGGGCACGTGGGCACGCTCACCCCCCCACACACACACACAGATAATCCCCAGAAGCCAGGCAGGAGTGACTGGAGTGAACGGCTCAGAGGTCAGATGGGCATTATTAAGGGGGAGCCGCAGAGGCGGCCCTGCGTCGCCCACTCTCTGTCCGTTTGCACTCTCACTGCCGTGTGGAGATGGTCATGAGGAGAAAACGCTGCCGAGTTTAAACTAGGGTTCTCTTGGGCTGAGTCTTGGCCGCACCCAGGGAACTTACCGCAGGTTCTGTATATAGTTGCCTCAGGAAACACGTGTGTGTAAGAGACGCTCACGCTCAGGGGTAGATGTGGCCTGGGAGCTCTTAGCGCGTGCTCCGGCCTGTGTCCACACGCACAGCAGTGATCGTCTGATCTGCGCTCAGTGCAGGCGCTTACTGGATGGAGATGCCTCCCGCCCCATCCACCCGCTTGCTGCCTGGGAATACCACTGCACACAGAATAATGCTGAAGAGGAAAGGGGCTGTGTGTGCGAGGTTCATACACGTTTCACGAGTACCACTTCCAGACTAAGATGAAAGCATAACAAACTTGCCCTCAAAAATAATGCAATATACAAAGCAACTTCTCTTAAAATCAGCTTTGTTCCCCTTCTGTCAAATATTATGAGTAAATGAAACCTTCTTTTGATGGCATAAACTGCAGTAAATCACAGCCCAGACTCAAGATTAAGACCTCTGGTCTACAGTCACTTGCCAGCTTTCAAAAGCAAGAATAAAATAGGGACATTTCTGCCCTTTGCCAGTGCTTCCAAGTGCACTTCTGTAATATCCTTTATTTAAAAAAAACAAAAACAGCCTCCCATCACTTAGCAGCCCCAAAGCTAAGCTCTCAGCAAAGAGAGAGAATGAAGGTTTGGGCTTTAATTTTGTGAACAAGACCTGAAGCTTAATCTTTGCATTTTGGTGGAAAGAACGAACACAGCTTTGATATTTCACTCATCCAGGCTGTTAGAATTTACAATTCAGATCATAACTCTATGCTTAAATTAAAGAAGCTTTTCATAACATCGTGACATCTGCAGCATTTAAATTCTATCTTATTCTGTGTCCCAGAGCAGGCTGTGGTATAGTTCAGGATTAATAACTTCTTTCAGGGTCATATCAGTTGTATAGAATATTCAGTTTAATATAGGCACATGCATTAAGAAAAACTTACACAGACCATTTTTTTTTACCATTAATTTTGTTGTGCTTAAAGCATAATTTATTCATCCCTTCTGTCACTGATAATTATTGGAATTATGTACTTTAGGAGGCTAATCCATACCCAAAAAGCTCACATGCAAATACTCCTCTGAATTTGCAAGTTGATGTAGGGAAAGAAGGCTTCAGAAACATACAAAATAGACTTGTTTAGTAAGAAAACGGTGGTAACCAAAACTGCCACTGGTCTAAATGTAATTCAGCCAGGTCACAAATCTTTGTGTTGTGAATGGGTTTTTCAAATTCTGCATCTCTTCTCCTGTCCCGTTTCTGTCGTCATTCCTTAAATTTATGACTACACAGTAGGGGGCAGGTGAGCCCAGGCAGCCGGACCCTCGCCTGCATTCTTCTGTCTCGAGTCACCAAGGAACCTGTATGAGAAGTAGACAGGTAGGTCATCATTTTTCAAGGAAAGAAATCTTCAACTGTCGAGTAGGCATTTATTATCAACACAAGAAACCTAAAATTATTTTGTGTTCCACGTAACCTAAGGTTACTTCCCAAAGCCAACATTCTCTTTCTCTTCTAGGAAATAATAATAAAGGGTGAATAGGTTTAGTTTAGATGCTGAAACCAGAGGTTTCATTTCAGTCCATCCTGTCACTGGGTCCCCAGTGAAAGGTCTCATGTAAGCACTTCTCTCTTATCTCCCAAATTTAATAGTCAATATAGTTCTTCATCCATAATTCACCATTTTATCACAAATACTATATTATTGAAACCTCTCATTAGCCTTATCAGTGTAGAATATGAGTCTACTTGTTTGAGTTTTCAGTGCATATTTCACAACTTTTTTCATTTGAGGATCATTTTTAAGAGAAAAGAAGATGTTCAGTCATTGAAATAGTCTTCATTTCCTTTAAACCACAATACAATTTTCTTGTGTATGTTAAACTCATGTTTCAATTGTGCCATATAGTCTTACATAAAGTTTGGCTAATACCACTAATATAGCTATAGCTTCACAACACTGGTGTGACATGTGTCATGAAGAAAGTGTTTTAATTATATGCCGCACACTGAGGGCCTTATAGTGGGGTAAACATAAAAATGGCAACACAGAAATACACGTCAAGGTCGTCATTCAGTTACCTCGGTCACGCCACTTCCTAGTTTATTCTGGTGAGTCGTCGGGCGCCCCAAAAATGCACCTGAAAACCTTCCCATGCGTGCCCTGTGGACACTGTCCTGTGGCTGCGTGTCCTCGGAAGTGAGAGTCATTGATGTTTTCTAAAAAGAAGTTGTTTGCCTTAACCTTCTTTTTACATGTGCATATTCCCCCATCACAAAATTGGTATTTTAGATGTTTCTTATCAACAGAATTGACTGTCTGTAAACACTGTTCTGAGTCACATAAAGACTAATTTTTGCACTTAGGAGGTCACAGCCCTCACTCAAACAGAATAAATGCAAAATACAAAAGACAACAAAGGGACAGATAATTGCAAAAGACACGGTTTCTTTCTGTGTTAATATGTTAATTAAATGAAGAAGTGTTTTATATGAAAATGAGTTTATATTACATTTCCATTATACTATTAAGTTAGCATGAAAGTTTACCATTAAAATAAAGTGTTACCTCTTTTATTACTAACTCTGATTTGCTTATAAATACCAGAAAATTTTTTATTAAATATTTTAGTTTTATTTTCTCTCTTTTGAGTTTCATATCAAGTCTGAATACTGTATTATTTGGGAGGACCCAAAACCACATCTTAATTTCTACCAAAGAAAATATACTGATTTAGAAGTCATGATTTCATGTACCACAAATACCTACTTGAAGGAGATACTGGTACAGCCGCAGAGTCCCATAAAATTCTCCTTTAGAAGACAATGTTATAAGACAGAAGGTATGTAAACTATATGTCTCAGTCATAATTCAATTTAAGGAAATATTTTACCCCTTTAAAACCATCCTACTGCCTCATGCTGATTCAAAGGTTACATTCTGAATTGTTAAGAGTAGACATTAAAACTCACTTCTGCCTAGTAAGGACTGAGATTCTTAGGTGGGAGGAAAACCCTACTGTACTAAATCCTAATCACTTTAAACTGTGGAGAAGTGATGAGCGTAGGCTTCAGTGCCTCTGCTAATAAGGGGCCGAGGCGAGCATGTGCAAATGAGGAAGAGGAAAGATTCCTCTGCGGCAGGAAGATGCAGTCCCTATGGAGACTGTCAGGTAGTTAAAGCGGAACCAAGACTCTGACGGTGTCGCTGGGGGGCCTGAGGAGGGCAGGGCCAGCAGGTCAGAGCCTTCCCTACGGAAAGTTTAGAAGAAGCAGAGAGGTCACCGGACAGTGTGGGGGCCTTTGTGCGGGCGAGCCCACCCCTCTTCTGTCCATGGGGAGCGGTCTCCCGTCCCTCGCTCCGAGCCGATGCTGTGCTGGCTGACACACGCTCACGGTCTGGCCGGCTCGCGGGTTTGGCCATGTGTGTTCAGACTCAGGCTACTCAAAGTCTCTATGTGTGAGTTGGTGATCCTGTTTCCTAAACTCAATCGCTGACTATTCACAGCTTACTAGAAATCTGGTTGCAGCGGGGCTGGTCTCCTAGAAGGGAGAGCGCACTGAGGTCAACGCTGCTTCAACAGATGTTAACGCTGCTTTTGGCAGATGTTAACTCAGGGACCCCGAGAGGCACCCCAGGGAGACCTTCCTGGGATGAGCTCTGCTCTGGGAAAGAAAATGACTGTTGAATAGCAGTGCTCCTTGTCTTTACACTGGTGGCATGGGAGGGAAAGCAATCGGGGCACCTTCCTGAAGCCCATCTCTGCACCATTCAGCCAACAAGGTCAGACACGGAAGGCAGAGCAGAGACACCCAGGAAGGAAGACCGAAGGGCAGAAAGAGCAAGCACAGAGAACCAGTGCGGTGACTCATAGGCTCACCTGCCAACAAATTCATGCAGCATCGGTGAGGGAGGGGAGCCCTCAAAAGGGAGTTTTGAGGTGCTTCCCGCTGTGTGTTGTTAAACAGGCATGTCTCGAGTCCCTGCGGCATGTCTTAAAGGACTCCGAGTCAGCTGTCAATTGGATTTTCTCTGCATTCCCTGTGCTCTCAAGAGGAAGCCCCTGTTGCATGGTTCTTGTGGCAGGTGGCAGACACGAGAG